CGGAGAGTTTTTTGTGTGAAGCCTTTTTTTGAAGTAAATATTAAAAAATACTTTAGAAAAACACTGTGAACTTTAAAAAGCAGATATTGCAAGGATCCTCCACTTGACTGTAGAAGATAGAGGTCTAGTCAAATCTCGTTCTCAGACCCCTTCGAGTCTCCTTTCTTTATTATAACTTAGTCACACGACAGTTAGTTTTCTTTGAACGGTTAATCAGTACTCATTTTCCTTTCGTGAATATATATATATACATTCATTTTCTTTGTCACAGACTGTTTTTCTTTGTGTTTATTTTATTTTTTATTTTTCAGTTTTTCTTTACTACACACATATAGATTATATGTATAATAAAAATGAATGCAGCTGCTACTTTAAAAAGGCCAAATCAGTTCCCATCGCAAAATGCACGTATGCTAATATCCAACGTACTAATAAATCGCAAGAGTTCGATGGTACAACAGGATCATAAAGTTTACAGAACTTTTTTCTACAGGGATAATCATCTAACGGGCGGCCCAGCTTGAACTGGTCACTTTTATTTTTAGTTTTTGAGGTAATAAAAATCCTTTTAAAACTCGGTTTTGAGCTCATTCGATAGAGAATTCATTGCTCTACAAAACTGTCCACTTTGTCTTTTAAATAAAGCTTTCTTGTCGGCTCAAATTTTCAAGCTTAACACCTACTCAATCGTCCAACTGTGACAGTCAGCCGATCTGTAATACTTTACTTTTAGTGTCGGACTTGATGAACATAGGCTTACATAAATCGACAGATGTTTGCAGAAAACAACAGATTGGACGACTAAGTATGTGTTAAGCTTCAAAATTTTGTACCGACAAGAAAATTTTATTTGACAAACAAAGTCGACAGTTTTTTAGTTAGAACAACGAATTCTCCATCGAATGAGCTCAAAATCGGATTTTAAAACAGTTTTTAGTGCCTCAAAACTGAAAACAAAAATGGCTAGTTTAATCTGGATCATCCGTTAGTTTATTACTACGTACAGACAACCAACAACAACCGCCAGCACTGCTGCTCCTACCACGACCACCGTTACAGCAACAGCAACACTACATATTCCACTAGGTTACTCCTTTTAAGGTGAATCTACCTACCGGTTTTGTAAATTAACCTACCTGTTCAACTGCATTTTTGGCTGATCCTCATCCTCAGTCTATCTGTTTATGACAACTCTTATCACTTGCATTCATTAATTGGCTCGATTTATTGATATGTTTTTCATCAGTAAATATATATACCACGATGAATTTTTCGCTCTATCAGGCTATATGGTTTGTAAATCTTTCTCGCAAAAAACTAAGGACTTGGTTTTTAAGCAGGCAGGTTTTCCAGAAGTTCTATTATCAACTTTTCTCATGAAAAGCCGACATGCACCTAATCTGATAGAAAAATCTTCGGGTTATTCGAAACATTATTCAGATTGGTTCCAGCTTTTACTAAAAGGTCAAAAACAAGGGAGTTCTTGTGATTATGACACACGGTACTGACGGTACTGCTTAGATAACACCGAAAAGTTTCTTTTCAATATCCTTAATGACAGGCCCCACCTGTCTGGATATAGTGACCAGCGCACTTTGTAGAGAATTTCAAGGGCTATCCAGTGGTATGTTTTGGTACAATACATAATTTTCATTACGGCAGCAAAACGACTAACGAGTGTTGAAAGCACTAAGATCGGTCAAAATCATTATATCGGACAAGTATTTCAACTATTGACCCATGTGCACATATTTCTGAAAGACCTGTTTACCGCTCATTTTGAAGCTCGTGAAATTCTCTATTGAATGGTATATCTATCGTAGTGGCTAGTGGACAACTGTAGACCACAGGTTCGTCATCGTTGAATAAATCTCCCACTCGCTACGTCTTTGCATAAAGTATTTCTAATGTCAAGATGCCCTAGGACACTTTTTTCACTATCATATATATATGAAATTGTAGTACGAGAAATTCTATATCGAATGGTATATGTATCGTCGTAGTTAGTGGACAACTGTAGACCTCAGGATCGTCATCGTTGAATAAATCTCCCACTGGCTACGTCCTTGCATAAAGTATTTCTAATGTCCTTTCCTTGCCCAGAACCGATATCGAAATTTCATAACCAGTTAGAATAAATGTCATGTCCTGAGTAGATTTACAGTATTACTTTTTGCATTCGACGTGAAAATTTTTTATCGGTTCCTCACACCCCTGGGGTCCCCCACGCGGTAGGTCAAACAGACGTTTTTCGACTTCCCTTCACACTTCCAGCGTTTATGGTAGAACATATTGTACTGATCACAGCTATAATCTCGAATTCGAATAACAATTTCAACTTTGAGAGATTTGGCAGCTTTTCCAAGAGCACTTTTCTCAAGGGTTCAATCTCCTGTTGGGAACAGTAGATGGAAATTTTTAAATTAGAGCGGGAAAAGGCATCCGGAAAAGTTTGAGCCTCAACCTTCACAAGCCCCTACATTTCTTCAACTTTGAATTCCCTGTCGAACGGCATTTGAACCAGGTTTCGATCGCTTATCCGAGTTGATTTATTGGAATTTTAAAAGCACTTCAAAACTTTACAATCCCAGTATCAAATCCAGGCATTCTCAGATTTTCTCGTTTCATCGATTTTCAATGATTTAGTTCGTAATACATATTCTTGGATCAACTACAGTGAACAAATAGTCGATTCATAAAAAGCAAAAACCTTTTTCTATACTCACAGCGTCTTTATGTAACAATTCTGAATGATTTAACACTTTTTGTGATACTAATAAATTTTTTTCATATGATAATAACTGTTGACGAACTGCAAATGTGCTCTTTATCAAATAGCATATCTCGATTGTCAGTCCGGTCTCACGACCGATATCCCGATCGGGATAAATATCCCGTTCGAGATAAATATCCCGTTCGAGATATAGGGTATATCCCGAACGGGATATCACAGAAAATTTATATCCTGATCGGAATATTTTTGCAAAACATTTTGGAAAAAATCATTACCGCAAAAATCGTGACGTTATTGCACAAAAGTGAATATAGCATAAGAAAGCGGATGAAAAACTGAGTCGGAATCAAAGGTGCTCTAGTCTTGGTTTAAGGGTCTACCGTTCACGATTTTTTAAATTCCAATGGGAATATACAAAATAGCCTGATCGGGATATTATCTCATTCGGTATATATGCATAAATAGTTCGATGCTTTGTTGAGTAGCTTATAAAGGAGTCCAGTTCGTGGTAATCTATTGGCTCCGCCTGCTCCAGTCCTGTTCAGTGTTATAGATAATAAATGCGACAAAAACAATCGAAAGAAGTTAAATTAACATATTTTTCGGTGTATTTTGAACTATATAAGTCGACGATATCTGCTTTTTCTGCGATAAAATGCCAAAACGGTGCCATCATCACAGCAAATGTGGTAATCGTTTACACTCAGAGTGGCATGATGATGTAGAGTATTCTCTTTTGCGGACCGATAAGCGTTCGGTCAATAGCAAGGTGCTGATCATTTTGAGTGAAAAATGATTATTTTATTAGCAAAAAATGTAAATTTGTTTGTAATTTATGTGTAAAAAAGATAGAAGTTGATTTTTTGGACCAAGAGCCACCAAATGCTAAGCGTCAGAAACTCAGTTCAGAAACATTGTCTAATGATCGGGATATAACCTATGAATGTCAAAATGTCTCTTGTCAAAAAACGTCGAAATCGTTACTGAATTTTTCTATTGAACAAGTATGTGAAGCGTTGAAGACTCGTGCGTTAACTGATGATCAAGAAATGTTATTATATGATGCCCTGGCTAAAAATTTAGAAGAAAAATGTAAGAACAATAATAAAAACATGTTATTATACAACAGTTCTCCAACTACAATAATGACATTAGATGTGACAACTGCTTTCAAATATATTCCACCATGCGTAGTTAAGCTATTCCAACATCTATTACCATGTGAAAATGTAACTAACAACCTTGACGATAACTCCATTCACAATAATCGTTACAAAATCTGCAAGCTGTATGAACAAATGCATTCTGCTTCTCATAATAATTGTATTTTACCATTCTCGTTTAATGAAGCCTTGCTTGTTTATCTTCTAACTGGAGACAGAATCAGACGTCAATCTGTATCACTCTATCGCTTTTAGTTCAGAGAACGCAAGGAAAGATAATAACATAAACACAAATACAGAAAAAAGATGAGAAATAAAGAATGTACTTCGCTGTGTAGTCAGTATCGTTACTTAACTTCTTGGCTATGATTATTTCAACGTAGGATTTTTACAAGTGAAAATGCTCTGTAACCTTGCTATGAATAAACCTAGTTTTCTTCAAAGATGAACTCCCACTCCCACATCCAAATCCATATATCCCGTTCGGGCTATGAGACCGGACTGATTGTAGATGCTTTGTTTGATGATTGTCGTCCACTCGGTTTGACGAGTGATTGTAAACGTTCTAAATCTTTCCTACAGCGATCCTTCTGAGACGAGGGCTTGTTCTTAACACATATTTCAATGTTTCACCGTATGAAAGCCGTTTTTTAACTGTTTCTCGAACGTTTTTCTCATCTAAAACGAGTAAAACTTTGAAATGCTCAGAGGCATTGTAGTACTCCGTTCTTACCAACATGTGGTTGACTGTGTTGGGAGATAAACGAATTTATTTGGTTGACGTTGTCCTAGGTATTAACTATATAGAAAAAAATATTGTTTAAGCTCAATTTCTAGTGCACAATCTACATACTCTTGAAAATATTTGTACTGATCGGCAGTTGTATAAAGAAGTCGATAAACGATGTTGCATCTATAGGAAAAGAGCATAATGATTTAGAGTTATGAAAAAAGTGCTCTGCTTACTCGGTGTGGCAGGTGGTTCAATTTTTGTCTTGACGGCTCTTCACTTAATAGATCGACTATATCATCGCCAAGAATGATATTCCATAAATCGTACGGCTCAAAAATTGATGTTGGTGTAAATTTATTTTCTGACATGTTTATTGTCGTTCTTCGTGTTTTGGATTATTGTTATTCTGTTGTTCGTTTGAATGTTGCTGTGTTTCATTTTCTTTGAAGTCTTCTTCTTCGGTTGCATTTCTTTCAATTGATTCTAATGCTGATAATTGTTTTCGTTCTGTCGCGGTTGGATGTCGCTCATAATACCGACGATTTCTTTTTGATTGAGTTCTCTTGAATTCTCTAGTTCTACAGAGGGCTTTGCTGATCAAGGTCCAAGAAAACGGCACCGTTAACGGACCGTTCTCAGAACCTAAAACTCGTAACGTTTTAGGGTCTTAAATAGATCATTTTTCACCGTTTACGGATAGTTTTTTTTGTAAGCGTTTTTTTACCATTTACTGACCGTTTACTGGCCGTTTTTTTGTCGTTTTGAGAACATTAACGGGGCGTTTTTTGGATGTGGAAGTCCACCAGAAGCTGGATGAAGTGTATAGTTTGCTGGAAATTCTTTCAAAATATTGCTCGATACTCGAATGTTTTTATAGTGCATTTCGTGTATGTAAGTTATGCAACGTGTATTTGAACCGCTCGAAAAAAATTTCTGACGCACGGTCAAGTTATAGCTACAGCACATAGATAGTATTAAGGAATTTTAGCTGTATTTAACCTGTAGCTACTAACTCAGAACTGCGGATAATATTGTTTGGGTAAGAGATATTCATCGTAGTTTGCAATTGATCAGGTTAACCAATGAATTTTGGCTTAACAATTCTTGTTAAGAAAGCCGTTTGATATGACATAAGTCATGAGTCAATAAATATCATTCTAGTTTGAAAAATGAACTAGTCTTTACTGTTAAATAATTAGAATTGGCGATACTTCCAGATATAAGGACGGCTAATGCTACAGTCATGTTACGGGGACAGCGTGCCCCTGTAGATATGACTAATTGAGACGAAGTTATGCTTAGTAGAGTTAACTAAGGAATTCGAGAGCAAGCGGCACACATTTTTCTCACAGATTTGTCTCAAATCTAGATGTGATTGTCGGGTTTTTGTTCACCGAACGAACCATTTGCAGATCAATATAATGGATTAGAAAATCCATTGATGACGAACGTATCAAATTGAAGAAAACAATAAAGTTTATTTAGAGTCGCGAAAAAGTCCATTTTCGTATTCAGTACACTCGACAACCCGTAGATTTTCTATGTTTGCCAAGAGGTACTGCTAAAACTTTAGGAGTTTCTTCAAACAAAACGGCGAAAAAACGTTTCATGAGAAAATAATATTAGTTTCAAAATCTTTCGTAAACATTTGGCAGTGTCCCTCACCAAACATAGATTATCTATTGGATTATCGAGTGTGTTGTATACGAAAAAACACCTTTCTCTAAATGAACTTTAGTGTTCTATCGGTAATACAGTAAACATTGTGGAATAAGGTATGACAAGTGATGCTCTAGTTAGACTTATAAAAACCGATTCGACAAAGATATCAGGGTATTCACACGCGAATTTGTACAAGCGGTGAGAAAGGTTGGAATAACAGAATCGTTCTTCTACTTTACTTCTTTTGTTTCAAAAACGTGATGAAATAACTCTATTTTGTCATCTATAGAAAGAGCAAAGTGCTCACGACACAAACTACTGATGATAATGTTTACTTAGTATGTTGGTTATGTTGACTTACTTGATCACAGAGCGGCTGAAACAGGCTCCCAGGCATTTTACTCTACTTTTTTTTTTTTTTATTTTATTCTTCTTTTTCTACTTTACTTTTCTCAGGCATTCTACTCTACCCTTTTGACTTACGAATGAATAATAAGTAGTAAAAAAAAGTGCATATCATTGAAAGGTAATTTGAACCTCTGTCGTCGTGGAAGGTACACAACAACCTCATGCTCAGAGAAGGATTTAGGAAAAGTTTGTGTGTATCACCAAGTAGAGCAGTGTAAATTTCGCTCCTACAGCATCGTTTCTGCTCGTAAAAGCCAGTGAGCTGCACCAGCTTCTTGGAAAGACTATGATCGAATGATGGCTATCTCCAAAACCGAACTGCTTATAACGGGGCACGGGGCGATCACGAGGCAAGAACTGTACGAGGAGAGCCCGCAGGAGACATTTTTTTCTTTTTAACGAAAGACGAAATGGAGACACTGAACAGAATTCTTTCTAGTTCACTTGAAAAATATGTTTGCTTAGTACATGACATATGCCACAAACACAGCAGCTTCCTCAGGTTGAAGGTAAAACTCTAACAGTCGTATATTGTAAAGGTTATTTCTAACCTTTTTTATCTTTTTTCTATCTTCATGCTACGTATCCTGTACATATATGATAGGCGTGTTACACCAGAAACTTGGTCTACCGACCGAAAAAAACACTCAAAATTCATGCAGGATGCCCGTGGATTGTGGGTATTAAAATATTTGGCGATCTTTCTTACCTTTACGCAGGATTTTTATTCTGCCGACCATGACGGAATCCTGCATAGTTTATGTAGGATTAACGTGAAAAATTTCCACTGCTGTGAAAAAAAGATGTGTAGCAAAGCAGAAATATCAAACTACTCTAATTTCTTCAGTTTTGAATACTATATTGAATGGTATATAATTTAGAAACTTCGATAAAAACATTGAGAAGTTGAAGTTAATATATTAAGGTATACGTTTTCCAGAAGATTACTGAACGAGAAAAGCTTTTATAATTTTACAAGAAAAGATGCAAAATTTCTTAACTTTTCAAAAATAAAAATACGAACAAGTTCCGCCACGGCCACCCTGGATAGACATTGGTGAGAAAAGATTGCACGATGCCGCAGGATAGACACGGGAGATAAAATCCTGCCAGATCTCACAGGAAAAATACTGCCCTGTATTAATTTTTCATGGGAGACACCGTTTCTTTTCTCCAGGATAAAATCATACGCCTGAATGTGTTAGGAGCAAAAAAAAGCATTTTCATCTTATGATACTTCTGCTTGAGCTGAAGAATCCTTAGAGAGCTTAAAATCTTGTTTACCACAGCATTATTACCAAGTGTTCAATATTCAGTGTTTGTTTATACATGCTGCATACAAATGTCTTCCAAATCTCCGTCGTCATCTTGTAGGTATGAATTACCTATATCACATCTTTTCGTCAGAACAGAACAGGATGATCCTCTTTAAGAAAAAACTTGTGTCTTTACCAAACATGTGATATTTCAGGATGACACGTAATTCGGCTTCAATGTACATCACAGTGATTCACATAAAGCATGGTGAACTTCTCTGAGTAAAGTTGAAATGGTCAATAAGTGTGATTATTTATTTTCATCAGTTTGAATTGCGACAAGTAGCTTAACATAGCGTCTCTGTCTTCGATTCTTTAGCGCTTGCCATGGTTGTTTCCATGCATCAATAAACCGACCATTGAAAGCAATAAGCAAAATATCTCTACCTAAAAATTCACTAGATTCATCATTGTATCAACAAACGAAAATACGCAGATGGCTCGACTCTAGAGAGCAAGCCAACCTTGATATACAGTCAAAAATCGTCTCACGAGGGAGGTCCATCAACTTATAAATCGTTTTCCAGGCAAAACCTAATTGACTATAGGTAATCAACCATGCTGATTCCGAATATCACCATGACTGCTGCTGCTAGGTCTTCATAGATCGGTTTTCTGGAAAACCAGCTTTTTAGAAACTTTAAAAAATAACCAAAACCTTTTCTTAATGCTGCATGATTGTAGCCCGCACAGTTTTGATTAAAATGAGACGTCCCCCAGCTCTACACGATCTTTTTTTGCAAAGTTATAGAATTTACAAGAAGCCATAAATGTTCATTGCCAGCTCAAAGCTACAGAAATAAGAAGAAATTAATGTAGGGCTTTTCTTGTAAATTCTATAACTTCGCAAAGAAAGGTCGTGTAGAGCTGGGAGATGTCTCATTTTAATCAAAAATGTGCGGGCTACAATCATGCAGCATTAAGAAAGCGTTTTGGTTATTTTTTAAAGTTTCTAAAAAACTGGTTTTCCAGAAAACCGATCTTTGAAGACCTAGCAGCAGCAGTCATGGCGATATTCGGAATCAGCATGGTTGATTACCTATAGTCAATTAGGTTTTGCCTGGAAAACGATTTATAAGTTGGTGGACCTCCCCCGTCAGTAGCCGCTTATTTGCCTTATGTGAGCCATTGGCGGTTCGTTTTGATCGACGAATATGTCGAAGGGTGTGAGTGATGAAAATGATGTTTATGCCTATGGGTATAATAAGCCAGAAAATAAAATTAATTACTTTGGTAAACACACACATATCGTAAGAAGAATATCTACGATTAAATAATTGTATATCCAGCAGTCTGTGATGAGAAAGTGACGTACGCTCCCTCCCGGCGTTCAAACAATCTTCATTATCAAGTAAAGTTATAAAAAAAATGATGTGGAAATCATCACATTTTATTGTGTAATGATCGTATTCTTCTAATGTCGACATTTCAATGATAAAAATGCTGAATTGTCTCTAATTTGCCGGAAAAACAGAAGTAACAGGCACTTGAACGGATATAATTTCATCAAAGGAAAGTTATCAGCAAAAAGAAACATCATGGTTTCCACATCTTTTCATGCATAAGTTTAATTGATAATGATGTCTCCTGCAAATTTTCCCTGTCCGGGAAGATCATTATCAAAGGTTGTGTAATTTTCGTGTTCGAAAAGGAGTAATGGAGATTTATCTGATTTGTTTTTCTTACACATTTAGGATTTGGGATCTCATGCAATTTAGCATCTCTGCTACACCTCATACAAATGACCGCGTAATAAAAATCTAGTAAATGAGTAACGCGGAAATTAACAATTAAGGAACCTCGGAATTCAGAAATTCACTAAAGAAGGAAAAGCAAGGATTTTCACTTGTTTTTCTATTTCTGAACTTCTGTTGGTGACATGATTTGAATACACATACACTGAAAATACACTCTACAGCAATTTTCAGCGAAGAATCGAAAATCTAAATTATTTTCGTTCTACATGGTGTATTTGTACCGCCAGAAGTCTAAAGACTAAAAAGGGTTTAGTATAGCAAATTTTAAATGCCCAAAAGAGTGTTCAACATTCAATATACAAATATCTTCGAAATCTCCAACGTCATCCCGTCGAGTCGGAATTACCGTCAAATGTCAGAATTGCCGTCAATAAATGTGATTATCTATTTCCATCAATTTGAATTCCGGCGACTGGGTTAACACGGCGTCTCTGTCTTCGATTCTTTAACGCTTGCCATGATTGTTTCCATGCATCAATAAACCGACCATCAAGAGCAATAAACAAAATGGGATCAGCTGACAGT